TAAGAAAAGTTGTTCCCTTATGCATGCTGCAACTTTTTTTAGTACATCAAATTTCGATAGGTTGGCACCAGATGGAGTTAGTGATGATTAATGAACAATTCATTGAAAATCATCACTAACTCCATCTGGTGCCAACCTATCGATATTTGATGTACTAAAAAAAGTTGCAGCATGCATAAGGGAACAACTTTTCCTAATACACCATGTAGCTAAATCTTATGGTTTGAGCTATAATTAAGTTTTTCTGATTTTTTTTCGCTTCTTGCAACTCTAGCGCCATCCGGTGGCAGGAGACTGAAGTAAAGTATGAAAAGAAAAGTTGCAACGTGTTGTAAGGAACAACTTTTCCATACATGCTTTTTACCTAAACCTTATAGTTTAAGTTTTTTCGCTCTTTTTCATATTTGGTTTATATAAACAATATTTGGATACCTGCCATATACGGAATTAGGAACTTTCAACGAAATTAGGGCTCAATTCTTTGAAGACAAACATCTTCTTTTTTCTAAGAAGATCTCTTCAAATAAAAAAAATGTAAAATAGAAAATGAAGCTAAATAACGTATCATTCTGAAACGCCACACACTTATCTCCAAAGTTAAGAGACAAAAAGTGTGGATAACTTCAAACTTTGTAAACGAAAAACCGTACAGAATTAGGGACTTTTACTCTATATAGATCGTCAACTCTCCACACCCATAAATTCATCTTCTGTAAGCCAATGACTTTGTTTTTTTGTTGTTTTTGCCTTTATCTCACACGTGACGTCAAACATCTGTTGTGCTGTTTTTAATTTTCCTGAAATCTATGATAAATATTTAGTTAAATATTAATTAGGATCATATCATGTGACATGAGTTTATTTTCGATATCAAATATCTTTGTGTTTGATAAGATTGTACATAGAATGAAACGTTGAGCGCTCTCTGTTTCCTAGGTAAAGCTGAAATATTTTCAATTTCTGAAGCAGATGTCAATTAAAGTCATATTCACGATAAAGAAGCTTTTATGGTGTGCCAAGCGAGCCCATGAAAGTCTTATCTCGTCGGTGACATTTGTAGATTTTTCGTACTCATAAATAATCGTCTAATAGCTGGCATTAACATACGTTTGTGATAAGAAGCTTCAATTTAAAGAAAAAGAGCTTCCAAGTGGCAATTTCGACATTTCACATTAACTCGTACTTACTTTTAATACCATCAAAGCTCACGAGACAAGATGAGGCTTTGAACTGTGCTTGATTAATCATTGGAGTCAACTGGCTCCTTATTCAAGATTATGAAGTGCTTACAAAGATTAACGACAACAGTCGATTGTCACATTTAATTGATTATTAAAGTCATTCTCAAACTTTGACGTAATAACTGCAATCATCCGATCGTCTTACATTTGATCTCGTTTTAAAATTGTTTTCAAACATTTTCATTGCAGCATCTTTTGAGAAGAGTTCTTGAGAACCAACATAAATTTATTCAACTTTTGCAACAGCAACAAGTTCGATCATGCAGCACTGGACGATTACAAGAAGCTATCAAGCCTGAAGATGAAGACTATCCACAACTTAAAACGATCGATCCATCAACATCATATTATCCGACCTCAAAACCATTCAAACATGCTCCCGAAGTTGGTGATCAGTTCACTGTAAGTAGAAGCGACGACATTAAATTTAAATTTCAAATTACGCAATTTCTCCGTCTTAAAAAAACTCCACTTATGAATATTCAAAAACTTATGCCGTGTCGATTGAAATTGTGGCAAAATTTGTGCGCAAAACTTTCATTCAAATGGCGCATGTCACCAGTCGGTCATCATATTGGCTTCAAACTTGAAACGCAGTTAATTAAACATTCAGGTTTTCTGACCTCAACGTTTTCCGACACTTGAGTTCGTTGAATTTTTCGCGTGAATTTATGGATATTCAAAGCGGCGTTTGATTTATTATGGACAAAGTTTCAATCGTCATCAAATTTTAATTACCTAAATTTCACTCTTCACAGCATTCGCAATTGGCGGTTAGATTGGCTGCACCTCATCAACTTCATCCAAAGCCTGATGCTGATGATTTGGTGTTTGGAAAACATTTCACTGATCACATGTTGAAGATCGCTTATCATCGTCGCTTGGGTGGATGGCAAAAGCCCGAAATCATGCCAATGGAAAATCTTGTTCTCCATCCAGCTGCTAAAGTTTTCCATTACGCTGTTGAGGTAAGTTGAAATCAATTTTATTTCATCAACCTCATGTGCCACATTCTTTCACTACTTTATAAGTATGCACTTGGCTTGTTGTTACTTAAACTTGTCAAGTGACATAAGTGTGACAATTTTTCTGACGTCACATGCAAGGCACGTTGTTATCAATGTTTGGAAACATAAACAAAATTGTTTGCTTGCTTCTAACTAGTTAACTATCTACATCAAGTGACGTTTATAAATATTTATTGTGAAGGTCACTAATGTGTGATGATTGACTGCAACGGCTGTGAAAAAATAGAATAAATAAATGACAATTCACGTGTCGAAACATTTCCCTGTAAACATTTTTTGTGTAATTCGATATTCACCCAGAAGCTTAATTAATTAAATGATTACATAATTTTACAGCTTTTTGAGGGAATGAAAGCTTATCGAGGTGTTGATGGAAGAATCAGAATATTCAGACCCGAAATGAACATGGCAAGAATGAATGCAAGTGCACAACGATCAGGTTTACCAACATTTGAAGGTGATGAGTTTATAAAGTGCATGTCACGACTCGTAACAATTGATCAGGAATGGGTGCCACATACTGAAGCTGCAAGTTTATATCTCAGACCAACACTTATTGGAATTGAACCAACACTTGGCGTTGCATCATCTGACTCTGCACTTTTGTATACGATTTTATCACCAGTTGGCGGATATTTCACAGCTGGTGCAACAAGTATGGGAGTTTCACTTCTTGCTGATCCACGGTATACTCGAGCATGGCCTGGTGGCGTTGGAGATCGGAAAATGGGATCCAATTATGCACCAACCATTCAAATCCAAAAGGAAGCAACTGCACAAGGCTTACAACAAGTTTTATGGCTCTATGGAGAAGATCATCAAGTAACTGAAGTCGGAACAATGAATTTCTTCATGTTAATGGTCAATGAACAAGGCGGTGAGTTAAGCTTGAAGTTTTACGATGTTGAATATTTTAAATAATTTTTATTTCTTTTTTAGAACGTGAACTGATAACACCTCCATTAAATGGACTCATTCTTCCTGGTATCACACGCGATTCCATTCTTCATCTTGCTCGTGACTGGAAACAATTCAAAGTGACTGAAAGAACAATCACAATGTTTGAAGTCAAGAAAGCTTTGTACGAGAACAGAGTAAGTTTTAAGAATAATTTTAATGATTTAAGAAGATCTTATTAAGAATTTTTTTAACCCTAATTTAGATTCTTGAGATGTTCGGAGCCGGAACTGCTTGTGTTGTGTCGCCAATTGAGCGAATTTATTACATGGGTGAGAATTTGATGATTCCAACATTAGATCACGATGAACCTGTGTGGAAACAAATCTGCACAACCCTCACTGACATTCAATATGGAAAAATTAAACATCCATGGGGTGTAACTATCGATTAAATGCTAAGAAATTGCAAATATTAAATTAGTTTAAAGCTTCTCTCGAATAAGTTCATATGTACATATACATTAAAAGCTTCTTAAATATTTGTTGTTATGCCAAAATTTAGACAAAGTGACAATCCTCTGCGGGTCAGTAGATTATCAAATGATTCATTGTATCAGTGGAGAGCGAGACTTTTAATGCTGATGAAAAAGCAATTAAGTACAAAAAATTACGAAGTGTTTTCATTTTTCATAAATATTGAGATGATTGTTAACAACTTGAGATGTGACGAAGGCAGATGAAAGTATCTTTAACTTTAGAAATTTTTACTTGTATATAGACTTATTCTTGTAAGGTTTGAAATGTTTAAAATATTTTAGTTTAGTTTAGCATATATCGAAGTATACGTAAGGTCAATGTTATCACGACTTTGTTTAAAAAAGAGAGTCGGATGTGCTACAAAAACACAAATGTCTTCCAATTTTATGTCGTCATAACACTCAAACCTGTCTTGTTTGCATTCGACTTTTCCTACAAGCGACGATGAGGTCAAGGAATTGATCATGGATAAGAATAAGTTAACAGACAAGAAACCGGAAGAATTTAAGTGCCAAAATGTCTTTTAAAAGAATGAACATGGAATGATTGCCTTTTCAAAAATCGGGACTTCCAGGAAGTTATTTTGGAGATAACTTGGTTAAGCAAAAGATTTCTGAGAAGTCTTGATTTTCGATAGGTAAAACTTGATTGAAGTTGTTCTGCCGATGTAATGTCTAACATTGAATTAGTTAAAATATTTAATTTTTAAGGCTTTTCCTACTCTTACATATTGCCAATTGATAATTGCAAAGTTTCGGCAGCAAATCATTAAATTATAAAACATTTGAATATCTGTTTAGATAATTAATATTTATGAATTTAAGGCATCATTATTGGTTTAAGGCTAATTTCGAGAACACGAAATATTTTGTAAATAGTGAAAAAGAAAAAATTGCGTACGACTCATGATGCATTTAGACGAAGAATCAAACCACGAAACGAATTTAAATTCCAAATTTCTTTTTGTTTTCTTCTGATCGATTGGTATTAAGTCCTTAAACATTTTTGTTTTGTTTTTTGTTAGTTTGTTTAAAGAAAACTCATGCAAAGCTGAATAAAATGCTGTGAATATTTACATGATAAATAAAAATATTTTTCTTTTCTTTAAGATTGTTTTTTTGTTCTTTATTTACTTTTTAGATTACATGGAGATTATTTTTTTCTTAGGTAACTTAACAAGCATAGGATGACTACATGGAATTTCTTCTTTTGTTCCTCTTTTAAACATAAAAAATATTAACATAATTTCCAGATTTAAAATTTGTGCACTTTCTTTATAGCATAAATAACAAAAAATCATAAAATAAACAAGCAAATAATTTTGAACACTTGAAAGTGTCGTCAGAATGATTTCCAATTTCTTTTTGATCCACTGGTTAGTTTATTAACAATCGTTACACGATAATCTCGTAATTGATGTTATGAAATTCTATCAATCAATTGCTTGTGCAATATTGTCAATTAATCTTCTCTGCAAGGAAAGGTTTTAACTTCTCCCAAATCTCGTTACTTGTGTTGCCTTTAAATTCAGTTAAAATTCCTTTCGTCTTGTAAAAATCCAAGACGGGCATCGTCTCATCTTCATAAACTTTCAGTCTTTTCATTAAAATATCTGGGTCGTCGTCAGGGCGTTTTGAAAGTGGTTCACCTGTTACGTCATCTTTCATTGGCACCTTTGGAGGGTTGAATTCCAAATTGTAGACACGACCCGATGACATATGCACATAACGTCCTTTAACTCTATCTGAAATTATCCTTTTAATTAATTCAATCTCATAAATCCTATTTATATAAACCTACCAACAATTATCTCGAATGGCACAATCAAATTAATCACTGAATCAATTTTCTGAACTTCCCAAAGCTTTTCTGCTTGGACTTTTGTTCTTGGAAATCCATCAAGAAGAATACTTCCTCTTGCAACATGAAGTTCTTCAAGAATACAATTGATCATATGCTCGTCAGGAATTAAAGCTCCTTTTTTAATATATTTCTCAGCTTCCACTCCTAATGGGGTCTTTCTTTCGATATTTGTCCGAAGCAAATCACCAGTGGAGATGTGAACAATCTTGAAGGCTTTAACAATCCGTTCACTTATTGTTCCCTTCCCTAATAAACACAGAATTGATTAGCATTTCAAATCAATTCTAACTAAGTATTGATTTTGGACTTTGTCCCATCATAATATTTACCTGAACCAGGCGCACCTTTATAGAAAGAAGAAAAAAACTTTCACATATAAAATGTTTTAAATAAATTTTACAAATCTCACCCATAATCAATGCACGAAACAATTTCGACATCTTTCTAACAAATGTTCTTAATACAAAGCTTAAAAGTTAATTTTATAAGCTGACAGTTGATAACACCACGTCGTTGTTAATTATAAGATGATAAGAAAACAAAAAACATTCACTCAACAATTAAAAACAAGAAGCAACAAACATGAAACTCGTGTAATATCTTCGATTGACTGGTTAATCCTCTACCGAGATTAAGAAAATCTAATATAAATTAAAGAATCAGAAACTAACTTTAGAATCTAGTGTAAATGTTATTTTTCCTTAGAAAGAATTAAAATTTGTTATCAAAATAAATGCTGTCACTTCCGTCCAGAAAGAACATTTTAAGCTGTAAGACAAAACATAAAAATATTTTCATTCAAATTCACAATTTCCGTTAAATTTTTAAAAAGTGAAAAACTTTTTATGATTTTAAAATTTTTTCGTTATTTCTTGATAACTTTTTGTAATTTATTTATGTTCAACTTTTACAATGAGATTTGGCATGACGCCTCAAACCGGAAGTACTTTGAAATGATCGATTGCACATTTCACAACTGTAAGTAATTCCAAGATGAACTGATTGTTGATGTTCCCTGAGATTCTTTTTGATGTAGAAAACTTTTTCACAAAAATTGCATTTTAAACTTGGTGCTTCATGATAAATCGAATGGGTTTGAAGATTCCTTAAGGAATTGAATATTTTACCACATTGGAAACATGGAATTTCTTGTTTAGTTCCTGATAAATGATGAAGAGAGCAAATTTATTTTATGTTCAATATTTAACTTGATTGCTTACCATGAATATTATTAACATGATCTCTAAGCCTTGGATTGCTATTAAAACCTTTTTGGCAATGTGGGCATTTGTACTGTAGAAATTTGTAATGAAAACATTTTATTTTTAAATTTTCTATTTAATTAAACTTACCTTTCGTTCACCGTTGTGTACGTTACCTTAAATATTAGAAATAAGGAATTCTTGAGCAAGATTGTCAATTTAAGAAAAATCAACTTACGGATGTGACTTTTCAATGTTTCTCTTAATGCATAAGATTTTCCACAGTAACATTGATGAGGTCGTAAACCTGAATGTTTGTGCGTTTTGTGAGTTTTTAAACTCATTGCAGTGGTCAACACTGATGAACATAAATCACATGGGAAGCCTTTTCGTAATTCTTTTTATATTAAATTTCAATTAAACAATGTTAAAATAAACTCAATAATAATAAAAAAAATTATTTACCTAAAGGCAGATGATGAATTTCAATATGTAACCGAATTTGGTATTTTCCATAAGATTTAAATGCGCATAAATCACACGAATATTTTGTCAGCTTTAAATGCTTGGTTTTGATGTGGAAATTAAGATGATTATTGCCCTGAAATTTATTAATAATGTTAATGAAATTTCTATCGAAATCCTTTTCAATACCTTCAAAACTTTTCCACAATCAGGACAAATACGCAAATCTTTCGGGTCGGCATCGCGTGGTAAATGATTTGTTTTAATATGTCGTAAAATGTCCCATTTAGTATGTGCTCGATATTCACATTCATCACATTTATGATCTTTGATTTGTTTGTGAACTCGTTGAATGTGCACTTTTACTCGTTTTTTATCTTTAAAATATTTTTGGCAGATGTGGCACTCAAAACTTTCATCAAAGAAGAAAAATGGATAAAGTTAGATACAATTAATTTTGGAAGGAGTTTAAAAATTGAATATTTTTACTTGTTCTTTGCTTCCGAAATCTTTTTGTTCGTTTTTCTTTCAATAGAATTTCTAAAAGGATCTTTGTCACTTGAAGATCTTTCATCTCTATCGAATATAGTATGTGACATTCCAAATTGATCAAATTGATTTGGTGGAACTATTGAAATATTTTTAATGAAATAAATTTTTTAAATATTCTTAATTCGCTTACGAAGTTGCGCTTCATATTCGATTATTACAAATTTTTCTTGCTGAAAATGATTTTGATTTTCCATTTTTATATCAACTTGTGGCTCAAATGGGGTTTCATCAAAAACTTCTGATTTGTCATCTGATTGAATTGCTTCATTGTCTTCAAGTAGTTGATACAAACGTTCTTGCTTGTCCACAATTTCTTGTTTAAAGTAGTAAAACGAGTTGATTTTACTGTGGCATTCTATGCAAATTTTGTTAGAAAGTGATGACGAAACTTTAAGCTAAGGTAAATAGTATTTTCAATATCTTTATCATTACACTCAAATTAAGTTTTAATTACCTTAATATTGGATATAAAATAAAATCTTTGTTCAATAATTTGGTTTATTTCTGATGATTTCTCAATACCTTTAATCGAACCATAACAACAGCGACATTTGTCAAGGTATGAAAATAACTCCGACATTATTATGAAACTAATAGAATTAACCCAATTAATAAAATTTCGAGGAAATATTCAATTGAAAATTGTTCTGAAAAAATGTAAACAAATCGCTGATAATCTGATAGCAAAACTGGCAGCACGAAGAATTTCGAAGGGCCAAAGCTGCGCTAATTGTTTGTTTACATTACTCAACTCTAATGTTCTTGTTAATTTTCTTTTTTATTACGTATTTGAGTTAGTTTCGCTTCAACCTGAATTTATCATGTTCAAGTAGATTTTTTCAAGTTTCAATTCTCGTGATGTATACAGAAAATCATTACCAAAGCTCTGAGGAAAAAAAATCTGGAAATTCGACTATAATTATTTTTATAGTCATCGCTCTTGTAATTGTCTTGCTTTTATATATGACTTGGATAGCCGAATGTTGTCAAGAAGAGTTTGAATGCTGCCAAGAAAAATATGTTTATTCTGAAAGTACAAGTAAGGCTCTTGAATATTTCAATGAAAACTTTCCTTTGAACAATTTCTTACTCTCGTTTCCACAATAGCAAACACAAGATCACCAATTGATACTAATATGAGTGCAATTTCATCATCAAACATCACTGATGTGGACACTCCAAACAATGGAATCCATAATACGTTTACGAATAACCCGGAACCTCTCATTTCAGTCACAACAACCGAATCTAACTCAACAAATCCTCTAAATTCTCATCAATCTTCTACGCAACATGAACAAAGTTTTATCATTTTTCACCATCCACCGATTTTAACAGATCCCCCATGTTATGATGAAGTTGGAGGAGATCGACAATCAAATAATCTACTTTGAAATTGAATTTTCTTATCAAGTGCCAAAAATGATTTGAATTTTACACAAACTGAAACAATTCTACGTACAGAAATACCAAAAAAAAAGCTTTAATGATAAAAATTGAATCTCAAAAAGATCCAAGAAAAATTATTTATTTGTTCGTTAAACTACTTATCTTGTCAATAAGATTTTCTATAATAAATTTTTTTGTTCGTTTTTGAAACTTATTTAAAATTTTTTAATAATATTTTGGCATCAAATGTTCATCAAGCTCACCAATGTCATGAAGTTTTGTGCATGCCTTAAAAGCAGCATTTTGCTTAGAGAGCTTTATATCATCAAATGGATCACTTCGAATGACACCATGAATTTTGGTTTTTGGTGGCAACTTTAAAATTGCAATAATTCTTCCCGGTCCTTTGTCTTCTCTCGTCCACATAAGGTTTGCGTTTCCAAATCTCGACACATAACGATTTAAAAGAGCAACAGCGCTGATATTATTCAATAATGCTCTTCGTTTCGTTATTAAAGGCTCCCAAACTTCTCGTCTTTCATTTTCAATTCCATCTTCGTCAAGTTCTCTGTCGCACGCTTTCATCACTAACATTTTCTTTAAACTTAGATTGATTTTCTCATACACGTCACGTTTGAAAAGGAAGCTTTGTTTCTTTTGTGTTGGAAGCATAACAATATAGTTAGAATCGACTGTTCTTGCTCGTCCCTTCGTTTGAATGTAAGAACGGAATGTCATTGGATAATCATACATAACAACCAAGTTACACATTTGCAAATCAATTCCTTCTTCCAAAACACTTGACGCACAAATACAATTTGACTGTTTCATGCGAAATCTTTCAATGGCATCTTTGTTGTTATTCGAGTTCAAAGCTTCGTCAATCGACTCTGGCAATTCGCTATTCACACCAACAACAAAGTCAGGAATGATTGGAAAACTTGGTTCAAGTTCTGAATACTTTTTGAACAAGTGATAGCAACATTTTGCTGTGAACCTTCTTGTCATGAAGATGAGACATTGAAGATCACGTACTCGAGACTCAGTGAACATTTTTTTGAGAAGTCCAAACAAAATTCGAATTTTGTAGGAAGAATTTTCAATTAGATCATTTGCAGTGAGATTTTTCATATCAACTTCGTCTTCAATCATTGTTAACATTTCTTCGACACCTTCAATGCAAATATCGACAACTGTAAGAATGTCTTTATGTTGATTTGGTTGTTTCTTAACAAGCTCATATTGAACTTTGATACCTTTCAAAGCTAAATAACCACCAAAGATTCCCATTTCTTTCAGTTCATTCTTAAAATCTTCAAAAAGCAACGACAACTCTTTCAACTTCTTTGGCGCTGTTTTTCGCAAGGTTTGAGGATTGATCGTCAATAAGTTAGCAAATTTCATATTCGACAAATTCCAACGAATATTGTCAACTTTCGCAATCAATTGAGTTGCTAAATCACATGGTTCTAACATGTTGTATGTAATGAAATTTTCTGTTGGATTTGTTGAATAGAGAAGAACATTTTTATATTCTTCCAAACGATGAACTGTGACGATTGTTGATAGAAAAGTGCTTTCAAGAACTTTCAGTTCATCTTTCACTGTAGTTTCGTTTACAGACGAAGATATTCCAATCAACATACCTGACAGTCCTACGACTCGTGGTTGATCTAAGGGATCAATGTATTTAAACATTTTCATCAATTCATGGTAAGGATGATTCAATCGACCATGATGACATTCATCAAAAATAATCACATTTATCTGTTGGATTGAAATAAATGAATGTTTGATGGCGTCAAGAAAGAGTTGAGCTGTTGCAACAAACACTTGGTGATTCTCAAATTCATTCTGATAACGTTCTTTACTCCAAGTTGTTTTCCGTGTCTCTGAATTCCAACAGGCCACCTTTAAACCCAACATATTTTTGATTTCATGATGTATTTGGTTTGCAAGAACCACAGTGTTAACCAGAAACAAACTTCTTTTTCCACCTTCGCTAAGTGGCTTCTTAAGATCATCATTAAAGTGATCGATAACTTTAATCGCAATTAATGTTTTTCCTGAACCTGTTGGCAAATAAAGAATTGAATTTTTGTTTACACAGATGTTGTAAAGCAGTTGTTGATAATCTCGAAGTTCAATACTGTCGATTCCTCTTTCCTTTTTTATGTTAATTAATGTTAATTAGCGTTTGTACCACAGTCCATTTTGCATAAAATATGAAGAAAGAAAAAGCAAGAAGAAAACAGAAAGAACACGTCAGTGTTATGTGAGATTTCTTTGGATTTCTTCACGATCAATTGTACTTACGTCCATGTTTCTTGAATTTTGAGCAATTAATGAATTTTGTTTTTGAATTTAGTTTCACTTATCCTATGTACGATAATTTAATCAGTCATTCAAATCGACGCTTTACCTTATCTCAATTGATTCTGAGAAAATATTTTTAACGACTTCTTAGTAACAAAACCAAAAAAAAAACTTAATTTACGATTAAATTGAGTTTATTATAGTAACAAATTAGTTTTGTATTTATAAAACACTGAATAACTGCTGTGAATTATCAAAATAAGATTAAAGAACTTAAAGTATCTTAAATTTATTATTTTTAAGTCTAGAAACAGGAATCTCTACTTCTTACATATTTTCAGATAAACATCTATCTACATGAAAATGTATTGCAAAACAAACTTGTCAGTTTGAAAACTCATCTATCCCTGCATTTATGCAATTCTTCCTTAACCCTGAAAATCTTTTAATTAATATTGAAAATGGATCAAATGAATTTAATTTCCACACGTTATTAGTAGTTCGTTAAATTTGAAAAAAATATAAACTATTGAAAAGAATTTCATAGTTAAGTTAATAGAAAATTTCATAAATTCCTTTATTTCTAGGCCAATGTTTTGCAACTGCTAAATTTTTCAAATTTATTTAGGTATGTTGTCACTTATGCTGTCAATATTTTGTTTACATCCATTTGTTATTGATTCATGAAATATAAAAGAAATCAAAAATAATATCAAAGAAGTAGAATAAAAAGATTGTATCAATAGACAAGAAAATAAAAATTAGTTCTGAGATGAATGTACAGTTTAAAAATCATGTGAGTATTATTTTTTCTGTAGAAACAAAGCTTTTAATTAGAATTGTGTAAAATATTTTGGTTTCAGACGGAATTTTTATCAATGAAGAATGAAATAAAGATTCTTAAAGACAAAGTACAGTCCTTAGCTGAAGAAAATATTGCACTACGTGAAATTAACGTGCAGTTTCAATTGGAAAACTTTAAACTGCAAAAGAAAATTGATTCATTACAAAATTCAAGACTTGAAGAATGCTCACAAATAGAATATGATGAAGATGTGAGAGAGCTTATAGAAGATGATGCTTATAATGATCCTACTGCAGAATATTTAGAGCATGATTTCGTTCTACCTCAAACATCGACAGAAGAAAAGAATTCTCTGCTTGAAACAAGCATTCCACAAGACGAATCAAAAAAGTTTTACCATGATGATTACAGTTCGGACCAATCATCAATTAACGAAGAAGATAATATTATAGAAAATTCATTACAAATATGTAAAGCAATCAACAAAACTATAGAGAATGAACAAATTAATGAAGATTCTGAAACAGTAGAAAGTGAAGAATCTTTAGATCCAAAGGATGCTGTAAAAATTATTTACACAAAAGCTGCAAAACGTGGAGTTCTCGACAAGATCAAATCAATTCAACCTGGTAAAAAGAAGGACTCATACTTTGTTAGCAAAATTCTTGATCTGTTCTTTGATCGTAAAGTTCTCGCTCATTCATCTGCTAAGGGTCAAAAATGTCAAAGATACAGCATACCAGCTCGACCTCCTTTGGATCCTAGCAATGTAGAGATTTGTCGTAAAGCTTTCTCCTATCGATTGCAACGTGAAGGTCTTTCTCATGAAGCACATCAAAAACGCTTCAAATATTTTTATGGATATGTCAATTTCAAAATACAAAATTCGAGGAAAATGTTATGCGCTAAAAATTTATTTGATATTTAATAAAAGTTTGATGTAGATATTTAATATTTAAAATTGCAATTTAAGTAAAATGATATTTTATTATTGCATCACATTGAATCTCATTTGTCAGAATTATAAAACGTGGATAGATAACAATTTCATTGGAATATTCCATTCAAACTTTCTATTTTTAAATTCACATCCTAAGAGAATTGATAAGAAATCGCTGTCGTCGCTACCAACATTTCAATTGAGAGAAGGAGAAAATTAACTCGTCTCATTAATAACCACATTAAGGCATAGAATTTGCAGCTTATTTCTTCTCCATTTTATATAAATTTAGAATTTCTTTTATTGAGAATTCATTCGTAGAACTCACGTTGACAAGTGAAGACTTGAAATGAAAAGTTTAATTTTATTATTTTGTGTTATCAGTTGCGCAACTTGTATAAGTGAAGGTGAAGGTGAAGGCGAAGCTGATCGTTTTAAAAAATGCTTGCAAGATTATGCTGCGAAAACCGGACAACTCGACGCGTATTGTGAAACTAAAATTTCGGAGTTTAAAGAAAGCATTGACGATTATATCAAAAGCATTTTAAAAAAGGAAAATATGACAAAATGCGGATGGAAGCTTTTTGAAGACAACAAAGTTGACGAAATTGCTCTTAATGCTTTCATTCAACAATACACAACTTCAACTATCGACGAGAAAGCTCTCGTGAAAGAATTTAAAAAGACTTTTAAATATTTTTTGAAATTTGGAAGAACTTACTGCTTTTCTGATCTTTACATTGGAAATGCTTTCAATTACGAAGTCGGTGGAAGACATCCAAATTCAAGTTTAACTCAAGAGGAAACTTGCATGATGAAATATTTGATCGACATAAATATCATCGACCCAAAGTTGTATAACATCGATGAAGGAATTTATGCAAATGAAAATTGCGAGTCATTGTTTGTGGAATGGCGACAAGATTTTCCCTGTCAATTTAAATCGTTCGTTGTTAATTTTCCTGATGAAATCTTCGGATTGCCTTCGACAAAATTTCGTGAATGTTGGCATCAAAAACTTAAGGAACAAAAACTTAAGGAAAAATATAATGAACTGCTAGCATCTTACAAACTGTTGGTCACTCTCGGCTTATCTGAAGTTCAAATTCAAGAAATTCGAAGCGATTACATCACTTTGTATAAAAACTTTATTATCAACCTTTTTGAGTGCTTGGAAAAAATATTTTGAAATGATTTAAATTTGAAAAGATGTAAATGAAAGAAATAAAAAATTTCAATTCTGGAAACAAAAATTTGTTCTTTAGTACATTTAATCAAATCAGAGTTATGCCGAGATCCTTCTCATTTTTTCCAAATTTCTCTCGACTCCAGCTGTCATATGATATGACACATAAATATGTAATAATTTTCCCCCAGTAAATTTCAACTCTTTTTCTAAGTTGCTTCAAAAACTTTTCGGATTTGCATATAAAAATCGAAAATTGTTGGCGACAAGGAAACAAGAGTCAAAGTTTATATGATTAAACGAGGCTTAATTGAGAAAAAATTGCAAGAAACTAAAAGTGATAAGATGTATCAATATTTAGAGAATATTTACTATTAATTTAAAAATATTAAGAAGTTATAAAAATGGCCATGACTCATGACAGATAACAATTTGGAGGGCAAGAGAAGATCATCATCAGACTCATTACTCATAATTTTGATTATTTATAATTAAATGTATGAATTAATTAATTATTTTTATTAAAGAATCACTCATTAAGCATAAATACGCTTTAAGATTTTCCATTTCAATTCAGATCGTTCAATGTTAATTTTTCTAATGCAATCTTCGAATTACCTTCTGCAAAATTTCTTGAATATGTGCATCGATCGAAAGAGAGAGTTCATCGCCTCTCCTTATTTATAACCACATTAAAGCACAGAATTTGCAAGCTCATTTCTTCTCAATTTCTTATAAAAAATTAAGAATTTCTTTGATTGAGAAATCATTCGCAGAACTCACGTTGACAAGTGCAGACTTAAAATGAAAAGTTTAATTTTATTATTTTGTGTTATCAGTTGCGTAACTTGTATAAATGAAGGCGAAGCTGATCGTTATGAAAAATGCCTGCAAGATTATTGTTTATATGACTAAATGTTGCTTAAATAAACAAAAACTTCAAGGAACTAAAATTGATAAGATGTATCAATGTTTAAAAAATTTAAGAAGCTTTAAAAAGGGTCATGACTCATGGCAGATAACAATTTGGAGGGCATGAGGAGATCATCATCACATTCGTTATTCATAATTTTGCCACTTTAATCTCATTCTTTCATTATCAAATGTGTAAATTAATTAATCTTTTCTTTAAAGAATCATTCGTTAAGTTCATTTTGCTGAGAAAAGATTAAAAATGAAAGAGACAATTATTTTGTTTTGTATAATCTGTTACATAACTAGTGGAAGTGCCTCTTATGGACATCAACGTTGTGTACAAAATTATCTTCAAAACAAAGCGCTCCACCCTGATTGCAAAAATATCATCTTGGAGTTATCAGAGTCGGTTGCTGCCAAGGTTGAAAGTCTTATCAAAGTTTCATTTAAAGAACATCAGTTTTCGCCTTTTGCAAGATCATGTGGATGGAATCTCATGAACAAAAATAAAGTTGTTGGGATAAGCTTAAAGCCTTTCGCATATCACTACGCGAATATCGAGGGCAATCAATGGACGACAGAGCAAGAGGTTGAAGCAGAAGTGAAAAGCACAATAGAAATTCTTGTAAGGTATGCAAAGCAAATCTGTCAACCCGAAATTAATCTTGGACCGACATTCATCAATGAAATGAATAACTTGAAATCGTTTTCATCTTCAAGCACGCATAACGACAACTGTGCGATAAGTTATCTCATTAAAACAGATTTCATCGATTCACAATTGTACAATATTGACGCATCATTGTATGAAAATGATGACTGCGAGTTAGAATTCACAACTTGGCGAGATAATTTTCCCAAACAAAATTTGCAATCATTTCATGAACATTTTCCGGAAACTTTCTTTGGATTTCCCTGCACGAATGTCTCCAAATGCTTGCAACAAAAAATGAAAGATCAAAAGCTGAATCAATATCTACTTTCATTTAGGTATTTGGTAACATTTCCCATTACTGATCAACAGTTTGATGAGGTTCGAAGTGATTACATCAATTTATACAAAATAATAATAACAAATGTTTTCGAATGTTTAAATGAAATATTTTAATAAATTAAAATTTGTTGATAAGAAAATATTTTGATTCTCACTTTGCGAGTTTTTTTCTATGCCCGAGTCGACCTTTATACATTTATTTTGATTAATTTAGACACTCGTTTTATTCTCCTATGTTTTGACAATAAGGATGAAGAGCATTTAATTTAATTTTGTATAATCAGTTATGCAACAAGTAAATAATGATGACCTTTGATTTATTAAATTAGATCTCCGATGTCTGTCACCATCTGCATGATTGCCAGTGTCATTACCAACATCACAATATATTTCGACAAACTTCATGAGATCACCCAAACAATTATTAATTATGAATGTCTCAGAATATGTTTAAAAAATTATTGTTCAATTTATCAAATTAATAATAAGAATAAAGAAACATTGCTGAGAAGACAAATGCGATCTTTAATGACAGAGAGAACATCGCCAACATTCTAAACACGTAAATAAAGGATTCAAATTTCATGTCTTTCCGAAGTCTCCTAATTTAAGATGAGCTTTCATAAAAGAATTATTCGTCGAACTTGTGTTCAAGAGAAAAGATTTGAAAGAGAAGTTTAATTATTTTAATTTGCATTATCAGTTGTGTCACATGTAAAATATACTTGACAGTTATCAAATATTTATACAAACTTATGCAAAAAAACCGAACAACTCGTCAAATATTGCGAAATTCTCATTTCTGAGTTTAGAGAAGGCATTGAAGAATATTTTGATACATAACAAAGTTGATGAAATAAATTTAATTATTCACCTACATATACACGACTTCAATTATCAACGAGCGAACTTTTAGGAGAGTTATGAGAAATTTATGTACATGAGATTTGTAAACCTTCAAGTTTAACTCGAAACGAACTTGCATGTTGAAGTATTTGATCGACATTTTACCCAAAGTTGCATAATATCATTGGTGGAATTTATATGAATGAAAACTGCGAGTCGTTGTTTGTTTGTGGAATGATGACAAGACTTTCCCCATCAATTCAAATCGTTCGATGTTAATTTTCGTGACGAAATCTTCGGAATACTTTCTGCAAAAGTTCTTGAATGTGTGCATCGATCGCAAGAGAGAGACGATCGCCTCTCCTTATTTATAACCGCATTTAGGCACAGAATTTGCATCTCATTTCTTTTCCGTTTTATATAAATTTAGAATTTCTTTGATTGAGAAGTCATTCGTAGAACTCACGTTGACAAGTGAAGACTTAAAATGAAAAGTTTAATTTTATTATTTTGTGTTATCAGTTACGTAACTTGTATAAGTGAAGGTGAAGCTGATCGTTACAAAAAATGTTTTCAAAATTATGCTGAGAAAACCGGACACGTCGACGCGTATTGTGAAACTAAAATTGTAGAACTTAGAGAAGGCATTGACGATTCTATTAAAAGCATTTTAAAGAGAGAAAATATGACAGAATGCGGATGGAAGCTTTTTAAGGATTACAAAGTCGACGACATAGCTTTTAATGCTTTCATTCAACAATACACGAATTCAACTATCGACGAGAAATGTTTCGATGAAGAAATTAAAAACATTTTCGAAAAATTTGCCCAAGGTGCCAAAAGTTATTGCTTTCCTGAATTTATTGGAAATCATTTCGATAAATTAGAAAGAGGAGATCTAGATGCAAGCGATTCTCACATGGCCGCATGTGTATTCAAATATTTGATCAGCATAAAAATCATTGACCCAAAGCTGCATAACGTCAGTGAAGAAGTTTATACGAATGAGAATTGCGAGGCGGAATTTGCGGAATGGCGAGAAAGTTTTCCTAGCGTTTTTTTTCCGTTCGCTTTTAATTTTTATGATGGAATCTTCGGATTGGGTACGGCAAAAGTTGTTGAATGTGAACTTCAAAAAACGAAGGAAGAAAAATTAAACGAACAAATGTTTTCATGCAGAATTTTGGCATTTCTCGACCAATCTGATGCTCAATTGCAAGAAAGTCGAATAAACTTTATCAATTTGAATAAAAAATACCTTAAAATCCAATTACAATGTTTGGACAAAATCTTCGAATGTGCCGTTGAATAAAAATAAAATTTGGAAACTTCAGTGAGTGATTTCCAAAGTAAAAAAAAAGAAAAATTGTTCCACGTTAAATATCGACAACGATCGTTCTAAAATATTTTATTTCCAGGATTGCTTTTAAAATTAATTTGAACATGAATTTCAATTTTAATTTTTGATTTCGACACGTACAATTAAAGGCGGCAACATTTAATACGTTAAGTTTAACTTAATTTATATTCGTTATCTTATTAAGAATTTCTTTGATTGAGAAGTCATTCGTTGAAGTTACGTTGACAACTGAAGATTTGAGATGAAAATATTAATTTTAAATTTTCGTGTAATAAGTTAAGTGATTTTTGCAAATATTTAAAGCAAACTCGATGATTATTGTGATTTTATCATCACTCAATATTCAAGGGCCAATGAGCATTTATTCAACACGCATCTGAATAAGCACAACATGGCAAAATGTGGATGGGAGTTTGTGAAAAAATACAAAGTTGATTAGATCGCTGTGAATGATTAAAGGCGAGTAACTCTGGAATCAATCATCACTGAAAAAGGTTTAAAGAAAAACGTATCAGAATGTGAAATTGCCTTCTGCAAAAGTTCTTGAATGTGTGCATCAAAAATTTCTTATGTTTACTTTTTTCAGGAGAAATCTTCGAGAGATTTCATTGGCGTTGCCAAAGGCAACACAGGAACATCGTTCGAAGGAGAGAGACAATCGCCTCTCCACATTTGGGCACAGAATTTGCATCTCATTTCTTCTCCATTTTATATAAATTAAGACAGGAATTAAGAATTTCTTTTATTGAGAATTCATTCGTAGAACTCACGTTGACAAGTGAAGACTTGAAATGAAAAGTTTAATTTTATTATTTTGTGTAATCAGTTGCGTAACTTGTATAAGTGAAGGTGAAGCTGATCGTTACAAAAAATGCTTGCAAGATTATGCTGCGAAAACCGAACAACTCGACGCGTATTGTGAAACTAAAATTTCGCAACTTAAAGAAGGCATTGACGATTCTATCAAAAGCATTTTAAAGAGAGAAAATATGACAGAATGCGGATGGAAGCTTTTTAAGGATTACAAAGTCGACGAGATAGCTTTGAATGCTTTCATTCAACAATACTCGAATTCAACCATCGACAAGAAATCTTTCGAGAAAGAAATAAAAAACACTTTCGAATATCTTGCGCTAGGTGCCAAAATTTATTGCTTTTCTTTGGCCAATGCTTTCAAAGGCCAATTCAGTAAAAGAAATTCGAATGCAAGCGATGGTCACAGTATAGCATGCATGATCAAATATTCGATCGACATAAATATCATCGACCCAAAGTTGTATAACATCAGTGAAGGAATTTATGCAAATGAAGATTGCGAGGCGGAATTTGAGCTATGGCGAGAAAACTTTCCAAGCTCTTCGTTATCGCTTTTTTTTAATTCTTATAAAAAAATTTTCGGATTGCCTTCGGCAAAAGTTCTCGAATGTGAACATCAAAAAGCGAAGGAAGAAAAATTAAACGAACAAGCAGTTGCATGCATAGCTTTGGTACATCTCAACATATCTGACGCTCAATTTCAAGAAATTCGAACAAATTATGTCAATTTATATAAAAAGTTCCTTGAAAATAAATTTGAATGTTTAGACAAAATCTTTTAAAAAGCAGCAAATAAAAGATAAGAATTGTAAATGACAGAATGTAAGACGGAATTGTGTCGTTGAATAAAATGAAAATTTGGAAACTTCAATGAGTGATTTCCAAGTAAAATAAAAAAAATTGTTCTACGTTTCATATTGACAACGATCGTTCTAATGTTTTTATTTATTTCCAGGACTTTTTTGTGACCACAAGTGAAACTGAACATTTTCTTGATTATCTAAAAAATATGATATTCAAAGAAAACTCGATATCTACTGTGACTTTTTCATCACTCATTATTCAGCTCATTATTGAGCATTTATTCAACACGCATCTGAATAAGCACATCAAGGCAGAATGTGGATGGAAGTTTGTGAAAGAATATAAAGTTGATGAGATCGCTTGAAATTTCTTATGCTTCTGATCAGAAGTTAATGCTTTTCTTAAACTTACCTTGGAAATGCTTTCAATTACGAAGTCGGTGGAACATCCCAATTCTCGATTAACTCAAGAAGAAACTTGCATGATAAAATATTTGATCGACATTAAAATCTTTGACACAAAGTTGTACAACATCAATGAAGGAATTTATGCGAATGAAAACTGCGAGTAGCATTTTGTGGAAGACTTTCCCTGTCAATTTAAATCGTTCGATGCCAGTTTTTCTAATACATACGATCTCTGATTGCTTCTGTAAAAGTTCTTGAACGTGCACATCAAACACTTTTTATGTTTCCGTTTTTCAGAAGAAATCTTCGAGAGATTTAATAGGCGATGCCAAACACATATAACGAACATCGTTCGAAAAAGAGAGACGATCGCCTCTCCTTAGTTGTAACCACATTAAGGCATCTTTGATTGAGAATTCATTCGTAGGGCTCACGTTATCAAGTGAAGACTTAAAATGAAAAGTTTTATTTTATTATTTTGTGTTATCAGTTACGTAACTTGTATAAGTGAAGGTGAAGCTGATCATTATAAAAAATGCTTGCAAGATTATGCTGCGAAAACCGAACAACTCGACGCGTATTGTGAAACTAAAATTTCGCAACTTA